CGACGGGGCGGACGTGACTTGCCACTAGATAAAGTCATTTCCCCTTGCTTCACCTCGCTGGAGCATTGTAATCATTTAACTTGACGCTGAATTACTGGGAGTATTGGGCCCCTGTTTGACAGCCAGCCAAGCGAAATGCGTATGAACCGCGCAATCTGTCACCGGCTCCCAATGGGCGCGATTCCCTGAATTCGCCCCGCTGTCTTGCGGGTCAGGTCCCTATGATCAAAGTCTCCGGATGGGACCCCCTAAATTAACCCCCTTCCTCGGCCTGGGCGACCGGGAATCTGTATGCCCACACAACACATTAAATGATGGACTTACAACTCTCTGCTCACGTCTCACGCTCTCTGAACTCTCTCTCTTTGGCCACGGTGCTGGCGGCCGGACATGCTATACCTCACTCTACTGCACCGCAAACCACGTTCTTCGTTTCATGTTTATACAATCCTCCTGTTCTTGGCAACCCGCCTTCAATTTCGAGTCTCCAAAAGGGCATTGCAAATAAAAGCGGTACTTCTGGCCTCCTCAATGAACCGCTCAAAATCGATCGCACACATTCCGATACCAATAGCAAGGCTGTTATTGCACCCCGCTCGCTCTTCAGGCTAGCTACGTTCAATGTTCGTACGCTCATACAGATTGTTTCACAATCTGCTCTTGCGCGAACCTTGGAAACCCTCTCAATCGACGTTTGCTGCCTAACCGAAACCCGTTTACAAGACTCCAGCATAACGCTGCGATTGCCCTCACCCTCCCCAAGTTCCAATTGCACATTCACCTTGCGCTCATCTGGAGATGCGACAGCAGCAGCCTCTGGTTGCGCCGGCGTAGGAGTTGCGTTAAGCGCACGTACTGAGGGAGAGCTCATTGACTGGTTCCCGGTCAACAGTCCTCTGTACAATCCGCTTGGAAGGCTCAGTGCGATTTTCCAGCCACGAGACCAGTAGGCGCTGCTTATTCATTGTGGCGCCATACGCTCCAACTGACTGCAGCCCGGAGGAGGCTAAAGACGGGTTCTACCGCCAAGTCACCGACCTCCTCCGCAAGAAACGCCGCACGGACATTGTGATACTCGCCTTTGTCCTAAATGCGCAGGTCGCTAGACTAGAGGTTCATGAGCGCGAACTTGGGGTTCAACAGAGCAACGGTATTCGCAGGACGGATAACGGCGATAGACTCCTGCAACTGTGTGCCGACTACGGCTTGTTCCTCTCCATCACCAATTTCCGACTTTCTTGGCTTCAACGAGTCAACTGGCGACCTCCGGCGCCTGATCAATCTTGGACGCAAATTCATCACATCGCTGTTAGTTACCGTTGGCGAGGCTGCATAACGGACTACAAGTCAATATGAAACATTTACCTGACTTTTGATTCTGCGCTTGTGTGTGCTAAGTTCGTTCTGCTTTTTGGAGGCACCCAACAGCGTTACCGGAAACGGTTTGACGCAGACAATCTCGCCGTTCCAAATGTTCTCGGCGCATTTCAAAACACATTAGCTTCCAGTCTACGTTCTCTATCCTCCGATGTTGAGACACATTGGGTACAGATCCAGAGCGCCTTACGAAGGTCCTCTACCCTGCTTCACTAGACGAGCTGTTTGTCATTGGATCTCCGCACAGTCTTTCCAATTGATGGATAGTCGTCGAAAAAGTCCCGCCGGAGTTGAGTACAACGCACTACACAGAACCACAGGTGCTGAGCTCAGACAGCACTTCAGGAAGGATCGCGAGGTTTAGTGGACACAGCGCGTCATCCAGATGGAGCGGGCAGCCTCATCGGGAAACTCCCGCAAACCCTTCTAACTTATGCGCTCCACGGAAGGCAGAAGACCAACAGTGAGTGAGGTTTTGCTTGAAAATGACGGTGAACTAAGTCACACTCGTCACCGTCGTCTGGCACGGGGGGTAGAGCGTTTTGAAGATCAGTGCAACTGGCCAGCAGCGCAACCGAGTCTATCTTCCGGGGTGGGCGTCCTCGCGGTATACTCAGCCCGCGCGCGACTGGTGGTGGTCGCGCGGCAGCGAAGCGCCGTTACGGCGTATAAGCTGACACATTTCATTTTTTCATTTCCGGGGTTCACAGTGCTTTCTGGTGCTTAGATGTTTCCCCACTGACAGAGGCTGAGGTTTCCAATGAGCTTCGCCTACTAAAGTGCCACAAGTCACCTGGCCCAGATAAACTTCCTCCTGCCTTGTTCAAAAATGGAGGTCCAGCTCTCACTCGTGGACTGACATTTCTATTCCAACAGGTTTGAACTACTGAAACCATTCCATCCGACTGGAATTTAGCAGATGTTATACCTGTTTACAAAAAACGAGACCGGATCATTTGCTCCAATTATCGTGGCATCAGTCACATTTGTGTCATATCCAATCCATCGCCTTGAGGCTGGACCTTACCGTGATGCGATGGTTTGTGCCCCAGTAATCCCTTGAGCTATGCTGGGTGATGCTTTGGCACCTTCAGAGTCATTCATACCAGATTGGTCAATGGTTAGAGGCCAGACAAATTCACCCTCCTGGTGCTCCAGGTTGGGCGTTGGAATGAGGATGGCACCTTATTCCTTAAAACGGACTCCTTATAGCCCAATGTCAAACCCACTGCCTTGCAGTAAGGTTTTCGAACCAAAGGCTTTGGTTGAGAACCCTAATCGTTCTCCTCTCTAGGTTTGGGCAACCTGACAGTATCCTACCCACGCAATACGGGGAAACAAATTTCTGATGCTCTGGCCACCGCAGAAGATGATCAACGGTGCCCTATCTGCTGCATCGAGCAGGGTGGATAGGGGTTTGAATATATATATATATATATATATATATATATATATATATATATATATATATATATATATATATATATAATACGCAATCTGTGGTACAGATATTGTGCCATCGGAATCATGGCTGAATAGGAAAACAATATGAATAATAAGAAAAGAGCAACAAGAAATGCTTTTTTTGTCAAGTTTACCACTCACAGTTTTTGAAACTTTCTTCAGTTTGTTCTTTTTTAGGGGGTGGAAGAAGGGACACCGCAACATACTGATGCACACGTCCGCCATTGACATCGATCTTGAGCCATAACTTCCACGGTTTTCAACCAGCAAGTATCCTCATCTCTCGGACCCCAACCAGGTAGTCAACAACAACCGGCCGAGGCCAATTGTTTCGTCAACTTTTTCATGCGGCTTCTCCATGTTGTAGGCTGTCCACCAGACCGTCTCTTCCAGCCCTGTACAGCAAGTGCAAACAACGCACGACGGGGGTAACGCTGGACAGGCATGCGCAATACGTGTCCCAACCACCGCAGTTGATGCAGTGAGATGAGCTCCTCGAGCGAGTGGCTTCCACGTCCCAAGACACGCTGTCTAACTTCCACATTGCTTACGTGGTGCTGCCACCACACACGGGCAATGGACCGCAGACAGCGGTGCTCGAAGACGGATAGCCTGCGCAAGTCATCTTTACGAATGGGCCAGGTCTCGCACCCGTACAACAGTACAGCACGAACAGTTGCACAATAGACCCGCCCTTTGATGGAGAGACGAATGTCGTGGTGACGCCACAAATGCCTCAGCCTAGAAAAAGCGAGGCGTGCTCTCGAGATGCGCATCGAAATCTCGTCTCCAACAGCCCCGCCAGCAGTGATGCAACTTCCCAAGTAGACAAAGCTCTCCACAACCTCCAGTGTCTCACCAGCAAGCGTGAGTGCAGGCAGAGGCACCTGCCAGTCTTGAAGGAGAGCCTTGCATTTGGATGACGAAAAGTACATACCGTACTTTGATGCTTCAATCGTCAAGCGGTTTAATGCAAGTTGGACGACCTGTGGATCGTCACCCAGCAAGACGATATCATCAACATAATCCAAATCAACAACTCGACTACCTGGGAGGAGCTCAACGCCAGCGTTCAACGAATCGCTCAGAGCGTTCTTCAGGACATCCTCAATGGCAAAGTTGAATAGGAACGGAGAGATAGGGCATCCCTGTCGAACTCCACTGGAGACCACAAAGGTAGGCGAAAGCATGCCATAAGCCCTAACCCTGCTCGAGGTCAGACTATATAAAGCGCGCAGTATGGAGACGAACTTCTCGGGGACACCGTTCCTCAGAAGGCACTGCCACAGTACTGTACGATCGACAGAATCGAAGGCTGCACGGATATCCAGGAACACAGCAATTGTTGGCCTCTGATACACATGGCGGAGCTCGAGGATCTGGCGAAGTGTGAAGATTTGATCGATGCAGTCGCGACCAGGGCGAAACCCAGCTTGTTCTTCTCGTTGCAACGATTCGCGTGTTAGGGATAGCCTGCGAAGTATGATGGACACCAGCAGCTTGCAAACGACGGGGACTAAACTTATTCCTCTGTAGTTGGAGCAGATGGTGCGCAGGCCCTTTTTGAAGATGGGTACGACTATCGATTCACCCCAAGATGATGGAACCTTCTCTTTCGACCAAATTTTCAAGAACAAAGCGGTGAGTTCTCGGACCAGCGATGCGCCACCATATTTAAATAGAGCTGGGTGAAGACCATCAGGGCTGGGGGCTTTATAACGCTTCAGGTGCCGGAGCTCCTGCTCGATTTCCTGGGAAGAGGGAGGGTCTGTTGGGGTAGACCACTCGGCCCCAGCGCGAGCGCCAGAGGCAGCAGATGGAGCTGGGGGCCAACAAAACTGCGAGCCAAAATGTTCGGCCCATCGCTCCAACCGTCGTTAAAGATTGGTGATTAAGGTGCCATCCTCTTCGCATATTGTTTCACTTATACCAGATCGAACACCTTCGGTGACTCGAAGGAGATGGAAGAGTTTCCTGGTATTACCACAGAGACTAGCAAGCTCCATCTCCCTAGCACGTTCACACCACCAAGCTTCGCGGTCCATTTGCAGACTCCTGCGCAACTCTCGACCAAGGTATTGGCGTTCTTCAACGTGTCTCGAATCCGATGGGATCAAGCGGCGTCTGTCCATCAGCGACAAGGAGTCGGCGGAAATCCAATGTTTCGGTGGGTGACAGGTAACTCCACAAGTGTCGATACTGGCGGAAACTAAAGCATCTTTGATATGCGCCCACTGCGAATCGAGATCACCGTCAATAGTTGAGCCAAGCAAAGTTGACAGTGAGGCTTGGTACCTGGTTAAAACCGCAGCGTTTTGTAGATTCGCGTCGTCCGCTCAGTAGTGGGCGCGCTTAGGTGATCCTCCGAAACGCATGCAAATCTTAGCACGAACCAATGCGTGATCAGAGTCTAGAAAAGTTGACCAGTACGATCGGCAGTCCGTTACGCTTCCGCGCCATCTGTAGCTGATTGCTATGTGGTCAAGCTGAGAGCACTCTTGCGTTTGTGAGAGCGGGCTCCAGGTAGCAGTCTGTCTCCTCGAGTGTCGAAAACTAGTGCTCGAAAGAAACAAGCGATGATCAGAGCAAAGAGCAAGTAGTCTGTCTCCATTGTCTGATCGACTGCCACCGAGACCAAAACTACCCCCAATGTGGTGCTCGCTTGGTGGAAGGCGGCCAACCCGTGCGTTAAAGTCCCCGGCAAGAATGACTATATCCGTCCGTTTGGAGGAACGCAGAAGTTCATGTAGTTGTTGGTAAAAGCTATCTTTAACTGCATCCGGGCTGCAGTCTGTAGGGGCGTAGGCGGAGACGACAAATAAGGCACGCTTAACATCTCGACGCCTGCTTACGTTACATGAACCTCTTAATCTGACTGCACATAGTCGGCTGTTGACTGGGATCCAGTCAAGCAGAGCTGATTCAGCCCTGGCACTTAATACAATCCCAACACCAGCTTGACCAGTGGCGGCAGATTCTGGGTCTCCGGAAAGCCGCAAGTAGTATTTGGCGTCAGAGTTTACCGGAGAGGCCATTCTGATGACGGCGCTAGAGTCTTGTAATCTGGTCTCTGAAAGACAACAGATGTCTACCGATAGCGTTTCAAGAGTACGGGTCAGACATGCTTGTCGTCCGATCTGCATCAAAGTTCGAACATTAAACGCTGCGAGGATGAATGGAGAACCAGGTCGAAGAAGAGCTGGAGCTTCGGTGGAGTGAGAGGCGGTTGCGATCGCAGGACATTGAAAACCGGGAGTTTGGCTGTTACTTCCATCAGCTGCGAGACGTGGGTCGTTTGTGACGATGACCGTAGAAGACACAAGAGTACATGTAGGTGAAGGACGGGAGGTGGGGTGGTCTGTGAGTGGACGTTGAGCGGTTGAGTTAAGACAGAAGAGCGGCATAGCAGTAGTAGTAGTGAGCGGTGTAGTCCATGATTGGTCAGTGGGCGTGATACTACCCGGTTGCCCAGGCCGAAGTAGGGGTTTGAATGCTACTGCTCAAGCCTTCCCGTCTTCTTATTCCCCCTATTATGCCTTTTCTACCTTATGGTTCTGCCCCAACTTTACTTTTATCCCCCATTTTTCAGCCCCCGATCATTGGCTCTCCCTCAACATGCTTTGCTAGGCATTTATCTTCTAATTTCAACTCACATGTAAACACGGAGCGTCACTCCTCTCCTATCGACAAGCCCATGTCCAACCGAGCGGCCCATTCCAATTCATCGGCTTCCATTTGGAGCCCTCGATCTTCCTTCAGATTGGCATGCCTCAATGTTCGCACATTGCTTCAGATCGGTCAACAGGCAGCACTTGCTCGATCGATATCTGCTGCTTATCGGAGACCCGCCTGCAAGACTCGAGTTCCGTGCTCACTCTGCGACTCCCTTCAGGTGACGCAAGCAATGTTTTTTCATTGCGCCTATCCGGTGACGATGCAACTTCGAGCACACGCCAAGCTGGTGTTGCAATTGCCTTGAGTCTCCGGGCTGAAGCTGCTCTGGTTGATTGGATTCCAATCAGTAGCCGGATGTGTGCGGTCCGATTGGCTGGCTCGTTCAAAGCTTCGAAGTCACGTGGGCCTAACTGGTGTCTATTCATCATCGTTGCCTATGCATTGACAAACTGTAGCAATGATTCGGTAAAGAACAACTTTTACCGCCAACTGACTCAGCTCCTTCGCCACAGAAGAAGTACGGACACCGTAGTGCTGGCTGGGGATTTGAACGCGCAAGTTGGAAAGTTGTCCACTGATGAAACGCATCTGACGGTCAGCACGGTGTAGGCTCCCGTAATGATAACGGTGAGCGGTTACTTCATTTGTGTGAAGATGCTCGCTTATTTCTTGCGAGCACTAACTTCTGACACAGCACTCGCCGGAGGGTGACTTGGCGCTCACCAGCGTCGAACCAGTCTTGGACGCAGATCGATCACACTGCAATCAGTTGCCACTGGATAGGCTGCATCCGGAACTGTCGCTCGATTTGGAGCACATGTGTGAACACTGACCATGCACTTGTATGTGCTGACATGCGGATGCGTGTTGGCGGACGCCCACGACGACGCTGTGAGCGCATTGACACCAGCCAACCGGCGAAGCCAGCTGTTCTGAATGCCTATCAAAGTACGCTGTCATTAGTCAACATGGTTATTAGGTCTCTTCGCAGTCTCTAGAATTTATCGATGCTCGCCGGCATATTCCGGTTGGAAGCGAACACAATGAAACTCGCAATGAGCTCGGTGCAAGACTTCGTGCTAGCCTGAATAGAGACCGCGAATCTCGGTGGTGTTACCGTGCGTCAGAGATGGAAGTGGCCGCAACCCTTGGCAACCATTTTAAGTTATTCCATCTGATACGGGAAACGGGCAACAGGAGACCTGGTGTTAGTGAAACTATACGTGACGGGAGTGGACAACCTATCTAGAATTTGTCAAAACGCTTGGAGTGTTGGGCTGAGCATTTTGAAAAGCAATTCAATCGGTTAAAATTGTTCGATTCTTCGCCGGCCACTGATTGCTCTGCTCCGTGGGCTGTCCTTTTGGATTCGATTGCTCACTCAGAAGTCAAACGTGAGATCGGACTATTGAGGTTGAAGAAAGCCGCTGGACCAGATAATCTTCCTCCAGCCCACTTCAAATTCGGAAGCTCTGCTCTTCTTCATGCTTTACATGAATTACTATTGAAACTGTGGGAGCAGGAAACTATCCCAACCGACTGGAACCGCTTCGTTATTGTTCCCGTCTTCAAAGGAGGCTCGTGTTCGGAATGCGGCAACCATAGAAGAATCAGTCTGATCTCTATCGCCTCCAAAATCCTTCACAGACTGACTGGCGCTCGTGAAAGCCAGATTCGTGAGGAGCAAGCCTGGCTGAATCGATCGCGTCTTCACCTTGCGTCAGTTGTTGGAGCGCCGTCACACATATTGGCGGCCCACCCTTGTCATGTTCCTCGACATCAAAGTTGCCTTCGATTCGGTTGATCGGAGTGCCTTTTGAAACTGTCTACTCAGGAAAGGTGTGCCCGAGAAATATGCAAATATTATTTGAGCATAATACGCGCGTAGCACTGGCAGAGTGAGGGCTTACGGTAAGCTGTTGCCGCCCCTCAATATCTCCAGCGGTGTAAGACAAGGATGCCCGCTATCACCTTTCCTCTTCAACTTCACCATTGACGAAGTCATGGAGATCGCATTTACAGGACATGACTTGGAAGGTGTGGAGCTGCTCCCAGGAGAACGACTTCTCCACATGGAGTATGCAGACGACATTGCCCTCATCTGACAGCTCCCAGACGTGCCAAGCCGCGCTGGACAGATTAACACTGACTGTCAGCCGCTTCGGGCTTTGCTTTGCACCCTCGAAGTGCAAAGCGTTCCTCCAGGATTGTCAGGGATCGCCTCCTGCGCTGACCCTTGGTGGCGATCTGCTAGAAGTCTTTTAGAAATTCAACTACCTGGGAAGTTGTATCAGCGCCCTTGGGATCGAAGAGGAGATCACGAACCGTATAGCAAAAGCTCGAAGTGCTTTTGCTAACCTTCGCCACCTATATTGGCGGCGCCACATCACTCTCGCTCTGAAGGGTAGTGTACAATGCAGCGGTACGTTCGACCTTTCTGTGCGGTTGCGAAACCTGGCCCCTAAGATCGGCGGACATAAAGAGGCTAGTGACGTTCGACCATCGGTGCCTTCGCAGTTTGGTTCACATCTGGTGGGAACACCGCGTGAGCAACGAGCGTGTTCGACGCCTTGTTTACGGCACAGGGAAAGGAACTGAACCGCTCTGCACCGTTATTTCACGCACCAGACTCCGATGGCTGGGCCACGTGTTGTGCATGCCAGCCCATCGACTTCCGCGACGTGCGTTGTTTGCGCGCCGGGGGGTGTGGATGGAAGAAGAGGAAGGGTGGCCAAGCGATGACTGGGTGAAGTTTATTGAAGCCCCTTAGTTCGAAGCTGACCTCGGTTGGAGCTTCACGGCTCCCTGGTTGGGGTCCGAAAGACGATGAACACGTTTGGCTAGATACACTTGCGGACAATGCAAGGAGCCGACCTCAGTGTTGTTCCTGCTGTGAGTTTCTTTTACCCCCCAATCCCTCTTAGCTTCCACCTCCAACCACGATCTCATTTCGTAACGTAATATAATTTTACATCGTAATTTTTCTTGTTGTCTAGTAGTCGTCTGGTGGTAATCCGGAACGATGCCCATCCGTTGCTGGTAGCCCAGCTGGCATGAAACTGTTGTATTTACTTTCATTTTCCTTTATGTATTGTAGCACAGTAGCTGAGGTGTTTCCCACCTCTACCTAACCTGTATAATAATATAATGATGCTGCCCTTATCTTACGGAGTCTCAGTTGCGTACGGGAACAGCACCTTCCTGAACAACAAGCTGGATTTCGCCCAGGTCACATGTTCGTCGATCACATCTTTACGATCCGCCAGATACTTTAACATCGCCATACGTTCAGTCGACCAAATATAGTCATATTCTTGGACGTGCGAGCCGCTTTTGACTCTGTTGACCGAGTGGCTCTTTGGTACTGCTTACTGAAGAGTGGAGTATCTGAGAAGCACATCAGCATTCTCCATGCTATTCACCATTAAACTTCGGGTTGCGTGCAAACATACGGAGACATTTCACCCCCTTTCAGTATCACCAGCGGTGTTAGACAGGGTTACCCAGCCTCTCTATTCTTGTTCAACTTCGCCATAGACGAGATCCTGGATACTGCCCTGGATAACTCTGAGTCCTGCAGTGTTGAACTGTTCCCTGGTGACCGCTTTCGGGACTTAGCATACGCCGATGACATCGCTGTTTTTTGCCAGTCCTCCCAAGCCGCTCAGCATGTGCTGCTCAGACTGGAGATGTCTGCCGACTAATTTGGGTTGAGCTTGCCTCTTCCAAATGTAAGGTCCTATTACAGAACTGGCCAAGCGCATGTCCTTCTCTCACCCTTTCGGGGCATCCGTTGGAATTGGTCGACAAATTCATTTATCTTGGGCGTTGTCTTAGTATTGGCGATTTGACGGATGAGATCTCTCTGCATGTCTCGAAGGCTAGGGTCGCTTTCGCTAACCTTTGTCATCTGTGGCTTCGTCGTGATCTCAGCCTCGCTCTCAAGGGACGAGTCTACAATGCTACGGTACGAGCGATTCTGCTGTACGGCTGTGAGACTTGGCCCGTTCGCAAAAGCGATGTTCAGCGGCTATCAGTCTTCGATCACCGCTGCCTGCGAAGCATTGCTGGTGTTCGATGGCAGTGCCACATCAATAATGAGAAAGTCCGTCGGCGAGTTTTCAAATCTAACGAACTCTGCCGATCAATTGATAGCATTATTTCACTGCGGAAGCTTCACTGGCGTGGCCATGTGCTTTGCATGTCTACCCAGCGGCTACCACAACGAGCCTTATTCGCGAGTACAAGTGTGGCTTGGGAGCGATGAAAAGAAGGGCAATGTAAAACTTGGATCTGATGTGTTAAGGCGCAAACGATGGAGCTGGTTGTTGTCGGGCGTTCCCGACTTCCGGGTTGGGGACCAAAGGACCCCAAGCACACCTGGTTACAAACGCTTGAGGATATGGCGAAGGACCGTGCGCAATGGTGCACTTGCTGTGAGACTCTTCTATCGTAACCGTTGTCTTCCCTTTCCTGCTATCTTTTTCTTCTTATGTTTTGCACTCAGCCAATTATATTGTACAACGGAATGAGAAGACGAATACTGGCAGATGCTAGCATTTCGTATTATCTCGTCAGTACCAATACAATAACAGGGAAATTCTTTTATATGTCTTACAGGGCACAGGCAAACCAATCAAATTTATTGTTGTGATCATTGTTATCAGATTACGTCCACGGCAACCGCAGGTTGACAACTAATTGCTTTTGGACACACAAAGCTGGTCTAATTCGGCTTATCGCGACGGCCTCGGCAAATCGTAAAAGGCGTGCATTAGTATGACGTAACAAGATCCGGAAAGCTTTCCGGATATATATATATATATATATATATATATATATATATTCCTACCAGGTTGGTCAATGGTTTGGGTTCCATCTTCTGGTCTTCCAGGTTGTGAGTTTGAAATGCGATGGCTTCTATTTCTTTAAAACGGAATCATTGCCATCTCACCGCTGCCTTGAGGACAGGCTTTTGAGCCAAACGCTTTACCTGAGGACCTTAATCCTCCTCCTGTCTGGGTCTGGGTGCTTTGGCAGTATCTCAGTCTACGTACAACCATGACTATTTCTTCAGCCTTCAGCTACATGTTGCATCGGCCGTCGTGGAGTTTACTTAGAGTCGCTTTCTTGCTGCCACAGCAGGGCGGATAAGCGAAAACATACTACTACTGGCGCCTACCTTCTTCCTTTTTCATTTGTTTCTTTTACTCCTATCTCAACCCCCATTATTATCTGTAATTCCCAGCTTAATTGACAGCAGCCGTGATGCCACTTGAGTCGAGCCATCTGCAGCTACCTTTTCACAATACCCAATGGACGTTTATCAATTACAGTACTTTATAATGCCACGCTGTCCCGTTTCCCTGGCGGCCTTCAACGTTTGTACTTTTAAACAAATGGGTCAACTGGTTGTTCTCGCACTCACATTAGACACACTGGGTATTGACGTGCTTTGCGTCTCTGAAACTGGTATCAATGACTCTCACGGGGTTGTTGAGGTAGCTGTGCCCTCTTTGTCCTCTCGTCATTGGTTGCACACATCCGGAGACACTGCTTCGGCACTCACGGGTCAAACTGGGGTAGGCGCCCTTCTCAGCTCCAAGGCTGAGCCCTCGTTGCTTGATTGGATTTCCGTGATCTGCTGGCTGTGCGAAGCCCGTTTGACGACATCAACTGAGGTTACTTAACGAAGTAGTACAAGACAATGTGGTTTCCGCTCATACTCTCACGGACTGGGGTTCTGATGCTGCCAGACACATTCTACCACGAACTGAACAAGCTATTACCCAATTCTACCAGTTCAAATATCATACTATTTGCAGTGGATATGAATTCACAAGTAAGTCGCCTGCGCTCTTCAGAAGCTCTGCTAGATGGTTACTTATGGTTTTAGCTCCAAACGATCGAACAAATGCGAGCGTATTTGGCGACTGCGTGAGGAGCACCATCTGTATCTTAGTGGCAACGCTTTTAGACACAGTGGGCGCCGAAGTGCTTCTTGGCCTCATGTAGCTTGTTAGCGATGGACCCAAATTTACCACATTGCCGTATGTTACAAATGGCGTGGCTCCATTCTGGTTTGCTTCTCGTTCTGGAGCACTTGCGTCGAGTCCTATCATGCCTTGGTACGTTGTCGTTTTTCGATGACTTTATTGGGAGTCACACCAAACGTCTCCCTCGACTGGCAACGGAGAAATTAACTCAGCTCTCTGTCAGACAAGCCTAACAGCATGCTCCCCGTACCGCACTTTCGCTCCTTTGTCCTAATGACACTGAGTTTCACTAGAATAAGAGTTTGGCCGTCATACACGATACAGGAGCATCTGCTTGTGGTACTATCGATCGTCACCACACCTGTCACTGGATCTCCGAAAGATCGGTGAACCTATTGGGCTCCAGAAGAAAGCTCCCAGCCGCCTCTGAACACAATGTGACCAGACGTGTTATTAAACGCGAACTAAAGCGGAGCCTGCACGCTAAAAAGGAAGTCTGGTGAACCAGTTGTGCTCAAGAAATGTATGAGACAATGGTACTAGGCGGTTATCGCAAGCTCTTCCACCGGTAGTTATTCCGTCTGATACGGAAATGGGCAGCAGGAGACCTGGTGTTAGCGAGACCATACGCGACGACTGTGGACAGATGATCCACAGCTTGTGCAAATGCCTGGAGCCTTGGGCCGAGCACTGAGAGACCAGTTTGATCAGTCAGAGTTACTAGGTTTCTTATCGGCCACTGCTCGCCTTTCTCCCTGCGCCCTTCACTCAGACTCGCTATTGCACGCAGAAATCGAAAATGAGATCAGGCTGTTGAAATTGGACAAGGCCACCGGAGCAGATTGGTTTCCTTCAGCTCTTTATAAATTCAGGGGAACTGCTTTTCTAAATGATTTTCACAACTTACTAGTGAGGCTGCGGGAGCATGAAACGCTCCCAACAAATTAGGACCGGTCCGTTATAGTTCTAATTTCTAAGGTAGGCTCACTTTTTGAATGCGGTCATCGTGGAGGAATCAGTCTGATCTCAATTGCTTCTAAACTACTTGCGTCTGTCCATACTCACAGAATGGCTGGCGCACGTGAATGCCAGATTTGCGAAGAGCATGCCGGGTTCCGTCGAAATCTAGGCTGCATCGACCACATCTTCACATTACATCAAATGTTGGAGCACGCCACATGTATAGGCGGCCCACGGTTGTCGTGTTCCTCGACATCAAAGCTGCCTTCCATTTGGTGCCCTTTTTGACTATCTTCTCTGGGAAGGTATGTTTTAGGAATCTGTGGACATCTGAGCGCTGTACGCGCGTAATTCGGGCAGATTGACGGTTTATGGCAAACTTTCGTCGCCCTTCAATGTTTTTATCGGTGTGATACAGGTTGTCCGCTGTTACCTTGTCTCTTCAATTTCGCCATTGACGAACTCATTCAAACGGCATTCACTGGGCACGACTTACAAGTTATGTAGCTGTTCTCAGATGAGCGACTTCTTGACTTGGAGTATCCTGACGACATTGTTCTGATCTGTCACAGCTTCCGAACATGCCAAGCTGTACTGAATCATTTAGTTCATTGTCAGTTGTTTTAGGCAATGCTTCGTGCCCTCGAAACGCAAGGTCCTTCTCCAAGATTGACTGGGACACACCCTTGCGCTGACGCTTTATGGTGATCAGCTAGAACTAGTCGAGACATTCAACTATTTAAGCAGCTATATCAGACCCAGTGGAATTGAGGATGAGCTCACGAATAGTATAGCAGAAACTTGAGGCACTTTTGTTCATCTCCACCACATATGGCGCCGGTGTAACATTACTCTCGATTTGAAGAACAGAATTTACCACACAGCTGTGCGTTCAACCATTCTGTACTGTTGTGAAATCTAGCCCATCAAGTCTAGAATCGTAAAGATGCTAGTTACATTCGATCACTACTGCCTTCCAAGCTTAGCTCATGTCTGGTGGGAGCATTGCGTGAGAAATGTGTATGCTCGGCGCCGCGTATTTGGTATAGGAAGAGCGAGTAAACCGCTCAGCACCATTATTTCACGCACTAGACTCCGATGGCTGTGCCACGTGTTGTGCATGCCAGCACACCGGGTCCCGCGACGTAATTTGTTTGCGCGCCAGGGGTGTGGATGAAGGAGAAGCAGGAGAGACTAAGCGATGACTTAGTGTAGAGGGAGGAAGTCCCTCACTTCGAAGTTGGCCTCGGTTGATGTCTTCTGGCTGCCGGGTTGGGTCCGAAGGACGATAAACGCGTTCGGTTGGGTACACTATGTTGACACGGCGAGGAGTCAACCTCAATAGCTTTTGGGTTGTGAATTTCGTCGTCCCTTTCATCCACTTTAGCTTCTCACTCCAACAACGATCTCATTCGGATGCATCATTGATACTTAACATTATGTTTATCGCTTATCTCTTGGTTTATTATTCTGTAATATTTTGTTTGGCGAAGATTCGTCTCAATCAGACAGCCAGACAGCTACCGCAGACCCCCACTCCTCAGTAATAGCTGTGTTTTTTTACCCTCAACTAACATATATTGATGATGATGATGATGATGATGATGATGATGATGATGATGATGATGATGATGATGATGATGATGATGATGATGATGATGATGATGATGATGATGATGATGATGATGATGATGATGATGATGATGATGATGATGATGATGATGATGATGATGATGATGATGATGATGATGATGATGATGATGATGATGATGATGATGATGATGATGATGATGATGATGATGATGATGATGATGATGATGATGATGATGATGATGATGATGATGATGATGATGATGATGATGATGATGATGATGATGATGATGATGATGATGATGATGATGATGATGATGATGATGATGATGATGATGATGATGATGATGATGATGATGATGATGATGATGATGATGATGATGATGATGATGATGATGATGATGATGATGATGATGATGATGATGATGATGATGATGATGATGATGATGATGATGATGATGATGATGATGATGATGATGATGATGATGATGATGATGATGATGATGATGATGATGATGATGATGATGATGATGATGATGATGATGATGATGATGATGATGATGATGATGATGATGATGATGATGATGATGATGATGATGATGATGATGATGATGATGATGATGATGATGATGATGATGATGATGATGATGATGATGATGATGATGATGATGATGATGATGATGATGATGATGATGATGATGATGATGATGATGATGATGATGATGATGATGATGATGATGATGATGATGATGATGATGATGATGATGATGATGATGATGATGATGCTGATGCTGATGCTGATGCTGATGCTGATGCTGATGCTGATGCTGATGCTGATGCTGATGCTGATGCTGATGCTGATGCTGATGCTGATGCTGATGATGATGCTGATGATGATGCTGATGATGATGCTGATGATGATGCTGATGATGATGCTGATGATGATGCTGATGATGATGCTGATGATGATGCTGATGATGATGCTGATGATGATGCTGATGATGATGCTGATGCTGATGCTGATGCTGATGCTGATGCTGATGATGATGATGATGAACTGCACTCATTGGTGGTGCTCGTCTCTGGAACATTACCATATTGATTATGCCATGTTGTTTGCTCTTTTGTAGCTTACCTTTCGGTACATGTTGCTTTCATATAAATAAATGAACACTGCATACTGTGTTGCGGAAGCAAGTAGCAATTTTAATCTGTACAACTCCATCGAACTATGATCAAAAATGTTAAAAGGCAATCTATGCCTTGTCAATACGCTAATTTTTTTCACGTTCTCACGTTATATCATTAACAATCGTTTTACTCACAGTAGATTAGGTCTCAAAAATACGAGATGCCCGTAGGTAATCGTCCACGGAATCTAATATTTGAGAAATGCACATCTAATGATCTTTTGAATAATGGCGCTGAGTTCGCTTCCACGGTATGTTCCCGTAAACCCTTCCAGACATTTCCCACTCGCCGTTCAAAGCATAGAGTATGAGGAACTCGCTTCATATCTGGAACCACAAGCTTGCATTGGTGTCCGCGTGTGATGTAAGGCGTTCGCAAGTGGAGCAGTGGCCTTAGCATGGGGTAGTCGACTACATGTAGAATCCGGTAGCTCATGATGAAGTCAACACGGAACCGACAGTATGTCAGGGTGAACAGCCCTATGCTCGCAACTGTCCTCGTACGGTAATTTGTACGCATCTGTTGAACCCGTTCAATCTTCTGCGCCTCACTGCGACTGGTCGAGCAATAGGTGGGGAGCCGAATTCTAGCATTGGTCTGATGATTGAGGAGAAGAGGCGAGTGGCAACCTCTTCAGACCCGATACAGAAACTACGTTTGACTGCCCAGAGCATGCGAAGTCTGTTACGATATAACCTGTTCGTGTTATCAACGAGCTTCAACTTGCAGCGTGAGAATACTCCTAGGTTCTTCACAGACGGTGTGGGGTGTAGCAGTTGGCCGTAGAGAGTGTAACTTCGGTCGTCACCACCCTTCCCCAGACTAATGAATACCGACTTAGATGCGCTGACCGGGAGGCGGACTTCTGAAGATGGTTTAGGTCTTGTTGTAGTAAGCCGCAATCGTTGGATGTGCTTATCACTTTCCATATTTTCAGGTCGTCTACAAACTTGGCAAACGGCTACCGAAGAAGCTGAGGTAGGTAGGTAGGTACAGGAACAATGTAGACCCCAGCACCGTGCCTTGGGGTACGCCACTGATCAAAGGATACCAATCCCTCAGATGGCTATCGACTTGTACTATCCACTTTCGTCCAATGAGACAGTCATGGATCCACTGGTGCAGAGATCCGCTAACACCACACACTCAGCTTTAGAAGAAGAATCTCATGGTTCAACTTGTCGAACGCTTTCTTGAAATCGATGGGGATCACGTCGACAGATCTCCCTTGGTTCATTGCCTGCATCCATTCATGTCTCGTCACGATCAGGTTGGTGATGCATGAACTACGTGGCGTGAAACCGTACTGTGCGGGCATCAGGAGATCTTAGGACCGGAACAGCTGTGGCAAACGTTTCTTCACAATCTTCTTTGCAACCTTGGCCAGAATAGGTGTCAAATTGGCCTATAGCTGTCTACCTTGCTGGGGTCACAGCCTTTCAGAATCGGTTTTATCACGGAGCATTTCCAATCATTCGGCTATGTATTTTCGGACAGAGACCTGTTGAACAATTCAGTTACGGCAGGCGAGATTATGGCTGATAAGGATTTGAGAATCAGAGGGTGGAGCCCGTCAGGCCCAGCAGGCTTGGTGTCGTCAATATTGTCGAGTAGCTGACGCACTTCTCCATCACAATCCAGACTGTCAAGTTCGGTAAGGTTGGTGCATGCTGAACTCGGTACAGACACCTGGTCATTTGCAAACACAGAAGCAAAGTGCGCCGCCAATGAGGAAGCACACTCAGTGCTGGAGGTTAAGGACTGTCCGTTATCGTCCTCCATCACTGGTAGGTTACTTGTCGGTCTCAGGCACCGCTTCACGTACGCAAAGATTCTTTATAGGCCGACTTTTGCTGCGGTTTCAAGCTACCCTTCGAAATGCCTGCGCTTTCTGGTTTTCACACCGTTGCATCTGTGGTGACGCCGCGTCGTTTCACTATTGGTAAAGTACAGAGTCTACAATGCCTGTGTTCGCGCGTGGTGCCGCTGTATGGGAGTGAGTCCTAGCCAATTCGTCTGAATGACTTGGGTCGCATTTCGGGCTTTGACAATGCATGTCTACGGAGAATAGCTCGAGTGTGGTGGATGTACCACGTACGCAACGATGATGTTAGACGTCGCGTCTTGGGTAACACGGACTTCCGCTTGACAGACTGCTACCACTTCGCCAACTGAAGTGGCTGTGCCACGTTTTACGCATGCCATGCGAACAGCTGCCCCGACGCACTCTCTTCGCTCGCATAGGACCAGACTGGAAGTAATCGCGCGTTCACTTGGCGACAAACGATGAAAGCGTTGACTTCTAGTTTGGCTGTCGTAGGTCCCGTGCGTCTTCCGGGCTAGAGGATCAAAGATGAAGAACACCGCTGGCTGGAAACTCTTTCGGAGATGGCACAGAACCGGGCTTAATGAAAAATGTATACAAATGTTTCTCTTGATTCGTTTGATTTACATCGCAAACATTAAACATACAAAAAAGATAAAACGGCGTGTGGTCTCTGTATTTATAACTTCCGGTTCATGGTTTTCGCTGGCTCTATGTCTATCTTATAGACTGCAGATATTTCGCTGCTTTTTACACATTTCATAGTCGTCGTTCGAGCCAGAGATAAGGAATTTGTCTCATAGCCTGTGTCGATGCCGAGCCGGCTTACCATATTCTTTGTCGAAGCAATGTGGTTTGATCGGTCCGGTTTTTCGACAGTTGGGAGACAACTTGGTTGCACAATGGACGTATTCCATTCTTTATAACTGACCAAGAAGCTTCAGCAGATGCAGATTGCGGTAGAAACCAATACACTTTACGCGCGGCTCCAGTGAGGTCGTCGGAATCCGTCTTCCAGTAGATGTAATCTGGCTGAATTCTGTGGGATTGTTGCAGTGGCAGCTCCATGTTAGTAATAAGAACTGAGTAGTTGTTTACTGCCAGGGGCTCCAGTATCCGAATAACATACACAGGTTGTTCACAGCTGGTTAACATCAAGTCTAAACACGATGGAGTTGAGCACGGTGTTCTGCGCGTCCGTTGGCAGATGTTCTGTTCTGCCACAGTTTCAAGTACCATAACAGCAAGCTTTGCTTCGACCTCACAATAACTGGTGATAAGTTCAACTTCAGGCCAGCGTATTCGAGGACAATTGAAATCGCCTATGAGTAGAAATTGACGGCGATTCATGTGGTCTCGGAGATGCGGCAGCCAATCCAGACAACGGCTTAGGGGACTGCGATAGAGTGCACACACGAACAGCTCTCCGAGCCTGAGATGGATCGTGCAGCACTACTGCTCACCTAGGCCATCTTCGCTTCGGTGAGCTCTCACGAGTCTCCCACACAAATATCGGATGTAGAACAAGACACCATTATGGGCATTCGATAGCCTATCACAGCGGAAGCACAAGTAGCCACCAAGCTCGACTTCATGGCTGTGTACCTCATCCTTCAACCAGGTCTCTGCGTGTCCCCTTACATCTCCTCTCTCGAAAGCAACGAAACGACACAGCTCATCGCACTTGTTCATAAGACTGCAGACGGTAAAACCTACACGCAAGCTGTGGTAAGAACTACCGGGCGAGGCTGAAGTGTGAGCGACCGATTTATCCGAGTTCGCGATCGTGTTGTAATTGCCCGAAAATTTACAATACCTAGGTTTGTTTCTCCCTCACCAGTTCGCCACTTTAGCTCAATGATAGCACACTTGGGGCGCTCTCGGTTAACTGGATCGATATCCGGACAAATATGCACCCTATCGGCTCTCCATCTACACATTCGAGATATCATTAGCTTCCAGCCTACCTCGTCAGCATAGGTCGGTCTTTTCCATTAGTGTTTTTGCCGATGCGAATGACTTGCATTACTTTCATTCCATCCTTACCCACATCGAGGAGCCTATCAACCATGCTCTGTAAAAACTCTACATCGTGAGGACTTGGATCGTTTGATTCAGGCGCCTGAAAATGCATAGGATTTAATCGTTTCTTGTCATACAAAGTGGTTCCTGAAGGAGAAGAGTGAACTCGAGCGTTGCTTGATCTGGCCTGTTGTTGGTCAGTAGAATGAAGCTTTTCTTCGTTTCGCGGCTTCTTCTGTCGTTTTGTTTTCCGCGGTCCCTTATGCATCGGGTATTCATCTGCGTCATTAGAGCTAGCAGAGTTCAGCATTAATGGATCAGTGGCCTCAATTAGTGTAGTGTCTCCGGAAACAGGATGGCGAGGTAATGAGTTTTCAGGTGTTGGATGGGAGGTAAGGTGGATTGAACTTTGGATGGACTGTAGGCTAATTTGCGGTACTGTAGGTCTAGAACTTCTCACAGTTAAACGTTTTTGGTCGTGACGTTCATAGGTAGATATTATACATTTCTCCGGCTTTCTTAGAATGCGACATTTGTTGCACAAAATTGGGATAAAATCATGTCGGATGGAACGCGGGAAACGAGCGGAATCGGCATGTAATCCAACACACGAATTATGAAGTCTAGCATGACAAACAAAGCATGTAAGGGCATTTGCCGTGTTTCCAACAGTTTTCGAGCAGGAACCACAAGCTTATTATTTGGATATTGGAAAGATGATGCAATAGTGCCGTAAAGTGGGAAAGTAGCATTTTCAAAACGGAACTACGAACACTGTGGGGAGATACCACACAAAATATTATCTAGAAATTGCAGGCTCAGAAATCAAATTGAATGATTCCGAAATTCCTACAACATAATTCCAATATGCCGATAACTCCACAACAAACTATCCTGACAGCGCACTCACGGAATAAGCAATCGGAGGTCGCTAATCGCTTTTGGATTATGGTATATTTCTCGAGTTGGTTGATTGAATCTTCAAGGCTACGATTCCATGTCATGAGGAAGCGAAATGTTGGGAGCCAATCGAAGGTTTTGATCGGACTGGTGCTTGCGTTTTC